GCGGGCCGTGGGCCCTGGGAACCCCCCCCCCCCGTCCTGCGCCCCCAGGTAAGGAGGCCATGCCCCCCACGCAGTGTCTGCCTACTCACCGGCTGCCCGTTGCAATCAGGAGCTGGTCGTACCTCTGGGAGGACCCATCCTTGAACTGGGCCTTCTGCCCCTTTGTGTCAATGGACACTGCCTGCAGGCACGGGCCCTGCTCCCTTAGCCTCCACTGCTGGGGCACGGGCTGTACAGGCCTCCCTCCACTGTGCCCCAGTCCTGCTTCCCTCCACAAGGTACTGTCCAGGCAGCAACCCTGGGCCTGGGAGCAGGTGACGGGCCTGCATGGCCACGTGCCCATGTGGGCTCCCTCCCAGAGCCCTCCGCCTGCCAGCAGCCTGTACCCGGGCACCCCCACGTCCACAGCCACTTGTGCTGTTTGTGTGCATGCCCAGGCCAAATGGCACGTGGCCCCACCACCCCTGCCCCGGGGGGCTGCCGGCTTCAAGCCAGCTGCTGCTGAGTGCCCGTCTCACTCCGTCACCTCCTTCTCAGTCCAGACTTCGATGTCGTGCGCCGTGAAGAACTCCGGCGGCCTCAGGTAGATGCTCTCGGCCCTGACCCCCATGTCCTGGGAGCAGAGTAGAGGTGCACGCAGGAGTGAGGGGTCGTCCCCACGCTCCCGCTGTCCTGAGAGCAAGGGCTCGGCGAGGTCACCACCCTGGGGCATTTCTTGCATCTGCCTCTCAGGGTGGCAGCTCCTCCCGGCTGCAGAGAGCGCTGGGCCCAGCCCGCAGGGCTTGGCTGAGGCTGCGGCACAGGCCTGCGTGCCTGGAGGGTGCAGAGCCAGGCCTGTGGGGCTCTGCCCCATCCTCCTGGCCCCGCACGGCCCCTGGACGGACGCACCTTGCTCAGCCGGGTCCTGTTGTAAGGCACATGCCTTTCCTTGGTCACCATGATGATCCTGCCTGTGAAGCCCTCCTGCCGCAGCGTTTCCGCACAGACCAGTGAGGCTGGGCCTGAGGGAGGAAGGGTCTGAGCCCTGCCCCATGGCCCTGGCCCCGGGGCGGGCAGGAGGAGGGTGCAGCATGGCTGGGGAGGGCCCAGGCTGGGGTCCCACTGGGGCTCAGTGGCCCTGCCCCGCGCACCTCCGCCCAGCAGCAGTGCCGTGGTCTGGTTGAGCCCACAGCGCTTGCTCATGTCCTTCAGCCACCGGCTGCTCTCCAGGTCCTGGAAGAAAGGGGGTCAGGGAAGGCGAACGGTGGCCCTCGCCCCATGCTGGGCTGTGGCTGCGGCTGCAGGAGGTGGGGGGCAGTGAGGGGGGTACCTTTCTCCTGGCCGTAATAAACACCTTCCCATCTTCCACTGTCACCTGCAGGACCGGAGGAGAGCGGGAGGTCAGAGCTGCGCTGGTGCCCTGTGGGCCAAGGCGCTGGGCAGGGGCCAGCCAGCGCCGGCTCTGCTCCGAGGGCCTGGAGGTCCCACTGGTACCCTGATGGCTGGCGAGCAGGGCACGGTCTTCAGTTCCCCCGGGGCCATGGGCTTGCTTTGCACGGGAAAGGTAGCTTTGTGCATCATCCCCCCGCGTGGGCTTTAGCATGGGCACCTGGGGTCTGGCCAGGGCCCCCCCGGGGAGCAGAGAAGCCCCGCAGCCGCAGGATCTAACGCAGAGAGCCTGGCCAGGGCCGTCCCGGACCCCCGTCCGCACAACCGGGGGCGGGGCGGGGCGCGGCTGGGACGAGGTGGGGGCCCGGGCCCGGCGCCGGGGCGCTGCCGAGCCGCAGTCACCTGGAAGGAGGGCAGGCAGTCCAGAGTCGGGTACTCCTCGATGTCCCCGGTCTTGATGTTAAAGCAGGCCCCGTGCCAGGGGCAGCGCAGCCTGTCGCCCTTCAGGACTCCTGCAACGCGGCCGCCAGGCGGGTGTGAGCGGGGCAGCGGAGCCGGCTGTGCGGGGCAGGGGGCTGCAAAGGCGGAGCTGCGCTTCGCTGCAGGTGCCGGCCCGGCCGCTCCTCACCTTGGCACAGGGGCGCTCCGGCGTGCGGGCAGCGGCTGCCCAGGGCCCAGAA